ACTCCCATCTCTCGAACCAGTCATATCCTGCCTTCCTGAGACACTCCTTTTTTTCTTGTAGGCATTTCTGTAGCTATACAAGGCAAAAGTGTTTTAAATAAAGCAAAAATAAATTTTGTATTTAACCATATTGCTTTTTTATCCTATTTTTCTACTTCATTTTTGGATATAAAATATATTTGTGGATATAAAATTTCCGTTATCGCGTGGAATGTGCTTAACAGTCAATTTGAGACAATCAGTTTGGAATGTAGCGAGAACCTAAAATCAAGTCAACTTTAGGAAGCATTTTTTTTCCTATATGTATAACGAGTACGAGATTGAGTACGAGTACGAGTTTTCAAACCAGCTTCTATTGCGTTGTCCATACTGGATTTCAATCCACTTCGTGTTTTTATTTCTTTGATGTTCAAATCTATTCACAGGAATGCTTTTCATGATTTATGTCACACTTAAGGACGATTTTAAAACTCGCACTCGTACTCGATCTCGTACTCGTTGTCAAATCTGAAGTTCCCTAAATGATATCTGAATCTCTTACTTCTGTCACTTCTTCGTCACTTGACATTACAGCTTGATTCCCACGCTTTTTGCATCGTCGAAGGTCACTAAAGCATCTCTTTTTCTCCAAAGTCCCATCAGCAGCACTCATACACTTGGTATACTCTCGAATGCATTTCTAATGATAAAAAGACGTGGTGATTTAGGGTTATTATAGGTACCACCTATCAAATTTGTTTGAAATCAAAGGGGAAGTCTCTAGTATTTGGTGCTTCACATGTTCAAGCATCTGTGGGGGAAAAAGGCCACGAAAAACATATGATATATTTTTTTGAGCGCTAAATGTACATGTCCTTGTCGACAAGTATTACTCGGTTTCGCATTACGTCATCGCCGCCATGTTGGATGACGAACATTCCTGAGTATTTCTGCTTGTTCAGTCATCCAACATGGCGGCGATAGCTTTGTTATTTAATTCTCGATGAATTCTTGATCATGTGGTTGAAACCCAAGAATTTGAATGGGCCATTTCTTTCTTTAATTGGACCGGTTTTCTGAGAGATCGTGGGTAGCTCAGCACAGCGAACGTTTTGAATGTTGAATGCCAGAGCTCAAGTGATGGAGCCTTAGTGCTATATTATGACCATCACGTTTTATAGATAAACACTGTGACAATGAAATGATCAGTCAGCTAATTAAGTAATGTCAAGTATTACTGAATTCTTCAAATCCATGGTAATAGAAAAATTGTGGTCGCGATAATAAAACTGCACCTTTCTTTTTGGTACTCTAAAGTACACGAAGAATTATGCTACTATTATGTTCAACCGCTCTGAATGCAGAAAGGGCTACTTTTCCTTCCTTATTAATTATTTTCCAGTAGCTAAATATTAAATAAACAGGCATGTTTGTCCTCTGATATACACTGTGTGGTGTGTGGGAAATGCCAGAATGCAAGAAAAGAAACGACCTAAATTTCTAAGAAATATAAACGACCGTGACACTTGTCACTTGTCACGAGTGCGCAAGGAGGTATCAAGGAGGTATATGGTGAAGTCTAAAACAAAGAAAGAGAGTGCTTTACTGTTCAAATAAAGTTTATAACAACAGGTGCAGTGGTCGAAAGAAAAACTAGGTCTCGGCGAGGAGGCGGAGCTATCAATGCTTAGAGCTCATGCTATCATTAATTGGGAGAGAATAAGCAATTGAACTTTTTACCACAATTAATCATAAACTTTCTCGATTTCAAATTTYAAGATCGTGAGTTTTGTCTCAGATTTTACTTTCTTTTCTTTTCAATTTCTTTGTTTTTATATTTATTCATTTTATTCATTTTATTATTATTATTTTCTGTGCTAGAGAGGAGGGCGTGGGGACTTTTAAAAAATACTTAAAAATAAAGTCAGTCAAAGCCGCTTCTCATGTTTGTTTTTTTTCCTCAGATTTATTTTTTCTTTCTTTTTGATATCGAGAACTAGCTCTCCCCACTTATCGCGGGTTTCTGCACAAGTCATACTGCTTGAGACACTCTCGTCGCTTGAAAATGTTAAATCCTGCATCCCTGAGACATGACCATTTTTGTCGTCGACATTCCTGTGCGGAAAATGATTTAAAAAAATAAAAGATAAAAAAACGATTAAAAATGAATTGTCATAATTATCACGTGACCAACTATTAGATTCCAACTGAAATGATAGCTCGTGGATTWTTCATGTAATGACTMAAAATCAATCGAACATGCAWAKTGGTAGAAAACACGAATGATTTAGATAAGGGAGCAAACTTAGGGAGTGATTTTCAGATGGGAAAATCATCAAAAATATCTAACAACCAAAGAATTATCGCCAGTCAACGAATAAATCGTTCATTTCTGACAGATTTTTGCGGTCTACTTGCCTTCACAGATGGTTTTCCTCCGGACCCTTTTTTGCATCTTCGAAGTTCAGCGAAGCACTTCCTTATGTTCTGAAKATTCCCATTAGCAATAGCAGCCTTCATGCATTTGATGTACTCATGGATACATTTCTAATGATAAAGAAAGATGTAGTTATAAGGCTAAATTAGTCGAAACAACTTTTGTCTACTACTATCACATGCGACCTGCGTAAGTCATCCCTACAACATGGTTATAGAACTGTCCTGGGGSTAATAAGCAATTGTTTTAAATCTCTTTGCACAGGCGTCCCAGGCTGGTATCTTGTGGCTTATTAATGGCGCAAGCGTTCAGTGGTTAGTGGTTACATGTAATTTTTTCTTACGTGGGGGGAGAAAATATAAAAACAGCTTTAAAATTAAAATTTTATTCAGAAAAAATATCGTAACTACATAAGGATCCATTTTGTGAAGAAAAAAAACAGAACAATTTTTTTTTTAAAGCGGTTCGGCCGTGATTCGAACCACTGAACGCTCGCGCCATTAATAAGCCACAAGATACCAGCCTGGGACGCCTGTGCTCTTTGCGGATCTTATCGGTGATATAGCACTTGACAAGGGCTTGTTTTCACTAAAGAAACGGTCAAGGAACGGAATTAACATGATGTATCAATTGTTAGCAACCATGTTGGATGGGATTTGGGTGACTTAGATGCCTGATGCTTAAAAACGCAAACAACGTTGTGAAACATTTTAATCGTTTTCGCGGTTACGATTGTCGAAATAGCTATGAGATCTGTGGGAAGCTAAGAAAAGAAAATTCACAGTATTTTAGCAGGAATGGATCTTGACGTGAATATGAAGAACAAGGGAAAACTAGAGAAGATTACAAATTAGACCACTTCTTGGAATTCAAAGAGCGTTAAATAATGCTTAATTATACGTTTGCATTTTGTGAACCAAAATTTCAAACTCAAATTTAAAAAATTGAGAAAAAATCGGCAGCGAAATCTTTTCTGTGTGCTGAATGTGAACGAGGCTGCTGAACATAACAGTGTGCGAGCTCAAAATTTATACGGTAGGAAAATGTATTCCGCCTTTTTTCCCCYTTTCTTAGACGATACGGCGGCCATTTTGGTAGACATCAATTGAAATACTTCTGAGGCTTCCTGTCTCAGTTGAGCAGCTTTGATAATAGCGAGAAGACTAGRAACTAGAATGAAACTATGTAAGCCGCGTTAGCTAAAACATAAAGTAGGCAAAGGAACGAGAACAAAAGATCGCTTAAAGAGAATTGTTTACATACAAGTTAAATAAAGTACACTGTATTGTTTATACAACAAAATCAACAAATGTATAAAGTGTAAAATAAAACTGAATGATTTCAGGATTTATTTGCAGTCTTTGCGATTTTAAATATCGGAGAACATACGGTTTACTGTTCGTCTCTCGCTGCTGTATAAGTTGAAGTGTACGGAATTATAGATATGAATAATGCATTTAGACGGCGGTATTGATCAAGTATTAAGTTACGGTACTTAATACTGATGTTCTCTTACTGGCAGAGGGTCTCTTTCCTCAGTTTTAGGCGGACTGCCTTATTTACTTAAGCAACGTTCGCCGAATGAGTCATGCTGAAGTAACACAATAGCAAGCGTTTGTGTCATGCAAATCAAAGAAAGCGTTAAAGGTGGGAAAAGGGAAGCAAAAACAAACAACATTTGATCTTTCAAATGGACACTATTTGCCTTGCATAAAGCAATCAATGGAGACTAATAATTACAATACAAATCCTGAAAAGCAAAGCGAATTGTCATGATAAATAATACTGCAAGCAAAGATTTTCATTTTCTTAACATTATCGCAATCGATGAATATCAATCTGCGACTGCAATTTTGTAATACAGTGTGTAAAAGTTTTTCCCGTTAGCTGGTTCCTGTACCAAATGTTCTACAAACAACATTATAATATCACTATGAAGAATTCATTGAGCAAAGAGAATCGTCAATGCCCAATCCTATTAAAAAGACACATTTTTTGTATGGTTTTATAGAGCAAAAAATATATACTTTGGAATTGCGAAATGTATTATTTGAACATCGTATTAGTTTTTCAATTGAGATGGATTAGCATGAGACTACAACATACAATTGGAGCTATATATACCTTTCCACTAGGAGGTGAAGGACCACCAGAACCATTATCGTCATCGTCATCTTCGTCACCATCGTTATCATCGTCGTCGTCGTCGTCGTCGTCGTCGTATCCCATGACCTCATCATCGTCAAAGGCTTTTTCTTCCAAGCCCATTGCGTCTTCTACCTCATTTTCCGTACTGACGCACACTAAAAGACCCAAAAGCAGCCATAATGCAAGTGTCTTCATCGTGAATCTCTTTCTTAGTACGCAAGGTAAGAGAGTTGTGAAAAAGTGATGAAAAATCAAAGGGAAGCTCTGATAAAAACAATGCAATGATTGCCAAGTATGACGAAATGGCACAAATGTTTGCACAAATGTGCAGCTATCCAAAGCCAATATACCTGARAGTTAGTCTTTGGTAATGACTTTTGGCGTTCAATAAAACAAACAACTTTCAAATTCTGCTTATATTTATTTTACATTMTTCAAAGAATCAGGATTCCTTAGTTTCTATAAATTTTACGATTGGAGTTGCATTTGAAAAGAATCTGTAGGTTTTGACGTATGGAAGTACGTAGTTGTCTTGCCAGTATGGACTATTTAGGCGCTCTTTATAGGGAAATGTATATTTTTGGTAGTTAAGAACTGAGCACAACTTTCTGAGTCATTTATAAATAAATATTTGAGTTCTCATAAAAGAAGTCAAGTATTCTACSCACTAAACCGGTCCGCCTACTGAGAAAAAAATCTGATGAAGCTTTCCTAGGAAGACCGTCACAAATTTCTCCCACAATGATGTTTTTTGTTCTTAACTCTCTTTCTTTATTTTGAATTCATCCCTCGTCATAGACGCTTTAGAGACATTTTTTCAGTTCTCTTTGTTACCGTTCCTCCTCAAACCTCAAGGCAAACTTTCTGATAGCACTGATCTCTTCAGTTCAAAGTATTCCAAAACGGGTTTTTTTCCGTATTCAAAAAAGTATGGAGTCCGACTAAAGTATTTTTTTCTGTCCAGAAGTAAGGTGACTTGAGGAAGGCGTGCAGTCAAAGTTTTTCWAATTTTTAATAACGTTTTTATTTGACCAGTTGTTTAATGCAAGTATTAAATCAATGCTTCCATGTTGGCAGAAGATAAATATTTAGGATCTTGCATTTGCTTGAAGAAAAACATGAAAAGCAAAGTTGCAGATTGTCAATACTAAGAGCGACACATTTGCTATATTAAAAAAAGGTGTGGTGAAATATACCATTATGAAATACAYCTTCCAAATAGAAATGAGAGAAGAATCTATGTTTATAGGGAAACGATGCTCTTTGTTATTTTTTATTTTTTTCGATTATGCACCAAATTAAACATAACACATATCGAAACAAAGAATAATTTGAATAAAAATGCAATGTAATTAAACGAAGGGACAGAATAAAACACATTTTAATTTTACTAAAGGCAATATATTGAGGTACTGTAAGTGCATTTTTTGGGAGGGGGTGGGGAGGAGAAGAATGGCTCTACATCAAATCTATCATGAACTTCAAAACCACGACATTACTTTACTAACAATTGTGACGCTACACTAATCCATTGATAACATGCAACTACCCTGGATCAAACTTGTTTATTAATGTCCACAACCAGTTGTTTAGAAACGATAAGAATGTAACGTCGTCCAGGGGCTGAAGACTGAAACAAATCATTCTAATATAGCGCAAAATCATGTCCTGATATTGCGTTGGTGACTGAACAAATATAAATGTTTCCATTGGGTGCTAGATTGTTTCTCCTCCAATCCCTGAGAGTTCTTCTTATACCGATTGGGGTTTAATACCAACCAAAACATTAGCAGTTATCTAAAAATTGGGATGACGCAGATTCATATAAATTTTAATTTTAAATTTTAAGATTTTAAAATTTTTAAATTTAAATTTAAATTTTAATTTTAATTAAAAAAAAAACACTTGCAAAGTAACTCGAAAGATTGAAAGAGAAATCAACTATATATAGAATCGGAAGATAAGGAGAGCAAAATAATAGACCTAATCGGCTAACGCGTTGCTATGTAACGTTACCACCCGATTCAATCCTTTGGTACAATATTATTTGTATCATTTATTGAAGTTAAAAACTAGACGATCATGGATCGCTTACGTGGGCTTCCTGTAGCTGCGACAATGGTGTTTCATTTTCATGATACAGTCTTTGTTTGTAATATGTCAAGACAGAATTAAGTTAATATAAGTTATTTATTTACATCATAATTTTTTTCCTAACTGAACTCTAAGTATCTTCTTTAGATACCATGTCAGTTTTCTCAGTTTTCCAAAATAAGTAGCTCGACTTTACGCTCTAAGAGCGTCTATATCATTCAACATATGCAAAATATCTGAAAAGTCATATAGACAATGAAACGGTACAGTCTTTGCAGTTCTGTCAGTATCGTATAACTTTGAATAATATTTTGATCTTGTGTTTCTGTTCTTTTTGGTGTTTTTATTTAATTTGTAATTTATAATTTTATATCTGGTGTTCTGGTGTTCAATCATCGAAACAAATGTTAATAAAGAATTAAAATGCTTCATGCACAATATCGATTTTGTACAGAGCTCAGTAAGCTCACACGTGCAGTTTTCAACTTCAAACACATTGTCAGTTTAGAAAATGGCATCAATATTTTTCAGATGAGGTTTGATATGTTTTAGTCCATCGAATGATTATCCTTCTGTCAAAGTATGAACCTTAAATATCCATGTGAGTTCTTATTTTTTGAAGATTTTGTGATTGACATCGAACAATTGGGGATCGGGTAATCTTCGAGTTACGCGCTTCGAGTTACGCGCTTCGAGTTATGCGCTTTTCGAGTTACGCGCTCGACCACGCCCAAATTTGCCTCGGCCACGCCCAGCGCATAACTCGATGCAACTAACATACATTAGTGTCTTCGAGTTACGCGCCTAGCGCGTAACTCGATGTAACTAAAATAGCTTAGTGCCTTCGAGTTACGCGCTTTTAAATTAAAATCAATATAAAAAAGAGCTCATTGCTTTTACGGCTTTTATTTTTGAAGCAAAATATATAAAATATATAGAATAAGTAGAATGAAATAGAACAAAACACCAACTTGAAGCTATAAAAACTCTTTCAGTTATTGGACGTTTCGGCACTTCGGCCTTCTTCAGCAATATATAGAATATGAAATATGTCAAGTTTTATAATTACAAATGGCAGCCCTTTTAGGCTGCTCGAAAATGTTTGAAAATGTTTGAGTTTTTAAAWTTGGTCTCCATATTCTGAAAGTGCATGATTTAATGCATCCTTGCTAAATATGAGACTCTTATAGTGTCTTTTATAGCGGATATACAAGCGATTTTATCGTCGGGTGACTACATACAAACGCTTGTCAATTTGATCGCCGGCGTTCTTTTCGTTATGAACGAGCCCAAATTACAAAGCGTTTCAGTGGGTAAGCCGACCATAAAATCGCTTGTATCTCCGCTATAAAAAAGTATTTTTGTGAGTACTCTATAGGTAAATATGTCATAGCTTGGCTAATATTTCACAGTCAGTTATTTTTAAGTTTTAATACACAATACACTATTCACAACAACTTAGTTATTGCGTTCACATTGATGGAATAGATACTTTTATGATGTAAGGGTCGTCTATCATTCGACCTTTGATAGAAAGATAAATTGGAATATCACGTACACCAATATGTACGTCTTTTGTAAATCTACTAACAGAAATGGCTTCTCTTTATCTTCACAATGCAAGTTAATTTTTATTTGCTAAATTCTGTGTCCGTCCTCAATTAACCCATTAACGAGGGGCTTTCGACGTATCATTAATTGAATGTTAGTACACAACCCACATTGATCTCCATTGATATCATGCATCATGATACAAACGTCCGAAGAAAAGTCATTAATGTTTTCCTTTTTGTTTTGTCAACTCCAATATATAAATATATTCAAAAAAACATTGCTGAGTGACTTTGTGAAGAAATGGCGTGATTCTGTTCATTTATATTGATTTTCATTTAAAAGCGCGTAACTCGATGCAACTAACATACACTAGTTGCATCGAGTTAGGCGCTAGGCGCGTAACTCGAAGAAACTGATGTATGTTAGTTGCATCGAGTTATGCGCTGGGCGTGGCCGAGGCAAATGAGCGCGTAACTCGAAAAGCGCGTAACTCGAAGCGCGTAACTCGAAGATTACCCGCCCTCGAACAATTGTTATGGCAAAGTAGTGCTCTTCGAGTCGGCGGCGATAGAAAATGCCCAGTCATTTCTGCACGAATCATCCGACAACTTTGAATATACCTCATTCCATGTCGTTTGGATGGTAATCAGTTGATTTTGTAAGATTTTCAGCTCTTTAAAGCATTTTAGCTACATTTTAGAACCATTTAAAACGAGAAAACTTCTTGCCGCCGTCTATCAGCCATTTTGTTTACATTCTCATGGAAAATGAGACTGCACACCATGTGCAACGCAGGCGCTACCAATTTGAAGCGTAATATTCACGACGAAAAGTTCACTTGCATTTTAAGACGTGGTCTTCCACAGGAAGCCCACGTAAAAAGTGAATGAGCGGCGAACATTGACTGAAGTGCATCCGTCACGCTATTTGATTTCAAATCAATCTGTGCAAAACAATAACGTCGCGTAACAATATGGCTTCCCAAATTACGAAAGACCAAAGTTTTTTCGATCCTCAAGTCTACCTTGACAGTTTTTTCGATCAACCAGAGAAAGATCAATTCTTTCTAGTAAAACTTAACAATTTCTGGACTCAAGTTGTAAGAGAAAAAGCGACTAGAATGCTGGAATATGGCGCTGGACCAACCATTTCAAGGTTCATCACTGCCTCGAATCACGTCCAAAGTATCATAGCAGCTGAATATCTACCAGCAAATCGACAAGCCATGAAAGACTGGATCAATCAAGACCCTAAAGCTTTTAACTGGAGACCGACTTTTGAATATGTGGTGCAGAAGCTGGAGGGTCTGTCGACCGAAGAAGTTGATAAGAGAGAGGCTGCAGTTCGAGAGAAGATCAAAGCTGTGATACATTGCGATATTAAGGCACAAAACCACMTYGAAATTCCTGAGRAAATCSCTGCAAAGTTCGGCCCACCATTCGATGTCGTGCAAACATCTCTTTGTCTTGAGGCTGTAGTCGATAGTTTCGAAGAGTATAAAGATCAAGTTRCATATCTCGCAGGTCTGGTTCGTCCTGGTGGCTATCTACGCATGCAAGGTGTGTTAGAGCAAACATTTTACACTGTYAAGGAGAAGTTATACACATTTTATTTGACGAAGGAAATGGTGYTAGAAAGCATGAAGGAAGCAGGAATCACTAACGTTGTTATGGAATTGGCTACTGACTATCTTAACGTTAATGAATTCAATGCGCTTCCGTTCGCGGACCTTAAAGATATGTTTGTAGCCTACGGGCAAAAGTAGCATGGTGCAGTCGGCGTTAAGGCATTTAATAGTATACCCAGGCCTGTTGTTGGTACTTAATTGTTTTATGGTCATATAAATCAGTCAACCCAAAAAGATTTCCATTCAATGTCCATTGGCATGTAAAAATTTGCAATCAACCTAATCTAAGCCTTAGCTTACTCAGTTTGCTCAAGTTGAAAATTTTCCCGCTTTTGTACAATTTGAACCTTCGTTCCTCGTCTTCAGCAGCCATTTGATTTCAAATTCTGGTTATCAGTTAAAGATCCAGAGTGTGATTTGAGTCGATTTGTTTTGCTTTTGCTGTACAATGAATTTTGGTGGTCTTCGGCTGCTCAATGAAAAGTTCATAATCCGTGTTGGTTGTTTTTTCTCCAGATTTTCCCCTGTATTCCCAAGATTAATTACAGCTGTTTTCTATCACTGGCTTCCTCATCGGCTAAATATGAAGCGGAAAGTGATTCTGCTTTCCTTTTTTGGGACTAAAAGTTAACTATAAACACCGTGAAAATGAATTTTGAATAGTCTTGTACTAAGATCTTCCTCCACGGAGCTGCCGGCGGTCGACCGGCGGTCGGGCTGCCAGTCATTCAGAAAGTTATTGTTCAAGACGCTTTCTGATTGGCTGTTTTGCGTTGAATTTATAATGAGCAATTCTAAAAATAGCACCAAGAGGGGTAAATTCCGTTCCAAGAGCTTATAAAGAAGAGGAGGGCTCCTAGTAATGGGTTCCTGTTGTATTTTAAACTCGTCTTTTTTTTTTCTTCACGATTTTACTTTTTCGGCTTGCCAAACTTGGGTGGGGGTTTGACGCACAAAACCCTTACCTTATCCCAGAACATTTTTTTTTATTTTGCATGCCCTGCCCAAGACTAAAGGTACAGAGGTACATTTAAAAAAGTGTGCCCTAGCAGATATGATCACCCTACCCCAGATACCCCAGACAATACCCTATCCTAGACAAAAAACAACCCTATCGCAGACAAAACTACTACCCTAACCCAGACAAATGGACTAAAAATGATAACCTATCCCAGACTTGGAGCTCCGAAAAAGAGACCCTATCCTGCCGCACATACCCGTATAGTAAATATATAAGGGGAGTACACGCGTTTTAATTCCCCGATACCAGATGCAATCTTTTTGGCTAATCCCTGGATGTGCACATTCCAAGATAAATTGCACACCAAGGGATCTCGCTTGAGACACCTGCTTAACAGGCTCACCATTAATCAACGGACTAACGGTGGATTGAAGTGTGCACAGTCTCTGCCTTGATCCAATTAACATAAACTCAGTTTTAGATTGATTAAGTGAGAGCTTATTAGCAACAAGGCAGCGACTCGTTAATGCCAGCTACACGGTAGATGCTCTGTAATTACACGTTCCCTGCTATTCAGGGAACGTGTAGTAAAATGCTGCTAATTTCTTGGTTAGACAGTTTTTTTTCACAATGTCGAAATTTTGGTTTCGGTACATCTTCGTAGCCAATCACATTGTAAATCATATATCCGGTAGCCAATCACGTTACGTTGTGTATTCCGAACGCTATAGGCTTTCCATAATCCCTCTCGCTCCTTTTTCAACTCGTTCTACACAGTGTTTCGTCCGCCATTTTTATGAATATTGCTTCTACTGACGAATATACCGGACAGAACAGGAAGGTTTACCACCAAAATCTGGCACTCAGTACTTGTCTGCGTGTTCGGACCAAGGGTATTTTGAATTATGATGACGAGGAGATACAGAGATCAGACACGCTTAGTACTCTATTCCGTATCCTGTTGTCGATTGTCGTACACTTTCGTTGCAATGGCACCGGCACCAAAAATTAACCTCACAAACGCATAGTTTAAGACTCGTTTAACACGAATTCAGTTGTTGTCACTTCCAAATCACCGCCAATATCGCTGGCTCAGAAAACTTTAAAACCCTTCGTAAAATTGCATTCCGTTAGAATTTTAATTCATTGAAAGGCGAAAAAGGCGATTTATCAAGTTTTTCAGATGTTTGCTTTAAAATTTTTAAAAAAGCCATCGGTTTTGGCTGAATCTTGATGGTCAACAAAGAGAAATTGCTGAAAAAGCAAACGAAATTTTGCAAAGTATGGTCGGTCATGGTCGGGAGTAGACTATTGTTTTTTTATAATTTTCTCTTTATCAATAAATGAGGCAATTTGGGAATAGATGAAAATGAGCGGACAATATATGGGCGGATGAATGGATGGAAAGTTGAATGTATTCAAGTTTCAATAAATAAAGGGTGGAAGATGGATGAATGGGTTAAGGAAAATGAATGAAAATAAATAGAAAGATAACACAATATAACATGATAAGAGATAGAAAAAATATAGCCCATTTATATATATAAATATTAAATATATAAGAAATAGACGGAAAGAAATAGAAAATAATACAGATAGAAATGATAATAATCAAAAAGAAACCATAACGGGCAACATGTTTCCTGCAGCCATCAAATGAACAAGAGTGCCAAGTAATATCAATCCGCATTTTGCAAAGAGCGCGCGCCGATAACATAGAAAGACAAAACCTTGCTTATTCAATCTTTCCTTTCCATTTTTTCTCCCTTTCACTCACGCAATAGCTGGTCGGCTTATGCTACAGTCTCTTTAAATGGTCTTTCATCATGTGGTTCTTTCTACGTTTATCTACAGGACGTTTAAGCAAGATCCTAAAGCTTTAAACTGGAGACTTTTGAATAGKTGTGGAGAAACTATAAATAAGATTTCAGCTTTTAGATCTTATTTTTTTTTTATTTCCTCTATCAGTTATTATCATGTATTACAGTGATATCATCTTTTTTACCAATTGATATTAATCATAAATTATAATTATGTCTTTTCTGTCAAATTTTCTGAAATTAAAAAAAATTGCATCCCTTTAAAAAGAAGAATTGAAATTAAATATGAAAGACCAGGAAATGGTTGTCGATCTTTTTTGGCAAATGGTATGTTGATTGATTGCTGAAGTTAMTCCTGTCAATCAGAAGTCACGCTATTTGACTTCATATCAGACAAAGCCACTCACTGCAAACAATAACTTCACGTTACAACATGGCTTCCCAAATTACCAAAGATCAAACCTTTTTCGATCCTCAAGTCTACTTTGATCGTTATTTCGATCAACCAGAGAAAGATCAATTCTTTCTAGGAAAACTAACCAATTTCTGGACTCATGTTGTAAAAGAAAAAGCGACTARAATGCTGGAATATGGCGCTGGACCAACCATTTCAAGGTTCATCACTGCCTCGAATCACGTCCAAAGTATCATAGCAGCTGAATATCTACCAGCAAATCGACAAGCCATGAAAGACTGGATCAATCAAGACCCTAAAGCTTTTAACTGGAGACCGACTTTTGAATATGTGGTGCAGAAGCTGGAGGGTNTATATATTATAATAATAGTGATGATAAAAGTGGAAGAAAAATAACAGAGAAAAATAAATGAAAGAATAAATTAAAGATGAACAGATAATAGAAGTACATGCAATATTAGGATTCCTGTATATTTTAAGTTCACATGGCAGAGAATTGAACACTTTCAGTTCCATTGAATCTTAGGGTTTTTTTTTTAATTGTTTGATCTTCTGTATCCATAAACAGTTCTTCATCGAAAGCCTTCTTCTGACTGCGAAGCTTCTTTCTGGATGACGTTTAAGTGAGATGCTGTTAGGGTGTGATAGGGTTGAGCCCTGACTCCACATTACTCTGCAGACAAAAGAACAGTGCTGAAAATTCARGACTTTTAATAAAAGGTATTTGGACACATTTTAAGGTTATGGTACCTCTTTAATTTTCGCCAATATATTTTCGAGTTGACGGCGTTTGTATTACTTATAAAAAAAAACATTTATTTTTAATTTTATTTTTGTTTTGTTTTTTAAATTATTTTTCT